AGAAAAGCTTAGCAAGCCCACTATGAAATCTTAAACTCAACAATAGTCATTGTTTTATGACTTCCGTAATTACCTGAACAATGTTTCAAACATTGGAAATAACTGAGACAACTCATCTTCAGTGTTCACAACAGAAAAAGGAGATTTTAATCTGTTAGTGCCAGAATTCTTTTTTTAAAGAAAATATTGCTAACAGCTCTGTAAATAACGCTGTATTGTCTTGAAAATACTACTTCAAAGCCGTTCACCATCCTTAAAGGAGAAACTTTTTTCTCTGTTCACTTTTCCCTGGGTTGAGAGAAGCATCTGTTTCTCTTCAACACCAGCACTCCTGTTGGATTCTTCACTGACCCTCCCACTGTCTCTGCAAGGTAGACATCCTCGCCCCTCATCCTGTTCCTCATGGAAACTGAAGCTCCAAGAGCTCACACAGCTTGTGGGGGACACAGCCACATCCCTCAGGGGGAGTGGAAATAAAAGTGAGCTTCTGCTGTTTGCAAGCTCTCAGATGCTTCATGGAGGGGAAGACTGACTCCAGCCTCCAGGTGCCGCCTGCGCTGGGTCCTGGGGACACAGAGCAGAGTCACTCAGGGCCTGGGCCCCTTAGTGCTCAAGGCCTTGTAGAGAGATGGTGCAAACAGGCAGTCCTAGAGCAGGGTGATGGACGTGCTAGAGGAAGGGGCAGGCCCTTTGGGAGCCCAGAGAAGGGAGTACCCGTGTCAGGTAGGAGCTGGAAGGAGGTATCACAGGGAAACTGACACTTGAGTTTATTTTGAAGAAAAAGAGAGAAGTTAAATAGTGTGAGGAAGGAGAGGCTTTCCAGGCAGTGGGAACAGTATATGCAAGAATATGGGAGCCTGAAACCACATATCATCTTTGGTGAGTAGAGGGCACCTGGGGACTGGTGAGAGATGAGGCCAGACACCCAGATCATGAAAGGAAGTCCCTGTCATTGAAGCTGAGAGACTGCTTTTCTCCATCAAGCCACAGGAGGGCTGTGAGTAGGGAGGGACACGTCAACTCTGGATGTAGAAGGATTCCTCTGGGGCCACATGGGGACCATCTGGAGGCTGGGAGGCCAGGGAGGAGGCTGGGGCAGAGGTCCAGAGGGAGAGGATGAAGGCTGAGCCAGGCCAGGGCCTCGGGATGGAGGAAAAGGGATGGGCAGAGACAGAGCTGCTGGGAGCACTGGGTCCTGGAAAGGGAGAAAAAGACGCTGAACTAACCTAGCGACCCCATGATGTGGGCACCCCTGAGAGATAAGAGGGAGTGGCCCAGGGGCAGTGGGTGCACAAGGCTGGAGCTCAGGGATGTATTTAGAAAACAGTGTTGAGTTGGTGGTTGAAGCCACAGGCAAGGATGTATGTCTCCAGAGAAAACGGAGAGGGACTTGGGTCCTGTGGGAGAGCAGCTGGTGGGGCCCTCTCAAGACTGGGAACCTGGGAGGAGAAGAGGGTTGGAAGGGAAGCGCTGGAGCCTCTTTGGGGCCCAGATGAGTGTGAGGGGCTTGTGGGTTGTGAGAGGTTTAGAGGGACCTGGACTCCTGGGTCCTGAAGGAGAAAGGGGCTTGGTGGGGTCCGGAATAACTGTCCGGTTCCTGGCTTCTGCTCCTGGGGGGAAGACAGAGCCACCCTCAAAGAGGGGCCCAAGCGGAGGGCAAGTTTTAGAAGCAGGTGGTGAATCCCTGCGGGTGCTGCAGCCTAGGAGACCTAAGCTTTTCTTTCCCGCAGAGAAACTTGCAGGGAGAGCCAGCACACCCTCCTGAAGGAAGGAAAGAGCGATCAATGTGGTAAGAAGATTGGTCCTCCTGAGCCATCCCTCTGCCTCAGGGTGATGCCAGATTCTCCAACGGATAGAGGACAAGGCCTGGAAGAGCCCTAGGGAATCTTGCATCAGTCACTCATTCACTCATTCATTCACGCTGAGGCGACCCTGGGCCTTTGAACCAGGATGAGTCAGATCTAGCCATGCCCTCAGTAACTTCTGGTCTTGGGAGGAGACAGACCCTGACCCAGATGTTTCCAGGAGGACTTCCAGCATCTAACCCTACCTGGGGAATGGGAAAAGCTTTGGGGATAGGCGCTGCATAGGGTCCTGCAGGAGCAGTATTTATATAGGAGACACTGAGACAAGAAGAAGACAAGTGTCAGGCAGATGGGACAGCTCAGTCACTGTCACTAAACACACTTCTCCCAAGGCCTGAGATGGAGACCCAGACTGAGCCCCAGAAGAGTACCCAGACAGTTGGGATTCCATCAGGGGCTCTGAAATCAGACAGCCTGGATTCATATACAGCCCGGTTACTTTGTGATGGGGTGGTGTGAGCCCTGCCCTGGGATTGTTACACGACTGTTAGGAGGCTCATGTGCAGCCTCTGAGGATAGAGAAAGTGCTAGATGTCTGGGCCCACCCTCCTCCTTGGGGCCTCGGCCTTCCTGTGGTGCCTCCTTCTCCCCCACTTCCCTCTTTCAGGCTCCTGGCTTCAGAAACTAATGAGGCTGCCTGACACGGCCTCTAATTGGACTTGTCTGGGAAAGCTGAGATTGGGCGGGATTGGGGCCTGGAGCTGTGACCTCCTCCTGCGTCACCAGGGAATGGAAGGAAGACGGGGCTGAACTGGAGCAGGGACTGGGACTAGTGTGGGGGCTGGACATCTGAGTTTCCGGTGGGGGAAGGAGGGCAAGGGCAGAATGATCCACAGATTGCGAAGCTGAGAGTGAGGGAAGTAGTGAATCTTGTGGCCCCTAGAAGTGACCAGGGGTGAGGGCTTAGACCTTGAGAGAGGCTGGGGGACAAGCCTCCCGGGTCCTGGAGTAGAAGCCTCAGGGGATCAGATAGCTGCGTGTCTTACTGGGGCAGAAACCAGGGGCCTACAAGCCTGGATGCCTTGTTGGTTGAGAGTTGAGGAAACAACTGTATCCTGAGGGTGCTGGATCTAAAGCTGGTGGCCAAAGCTGGAGGGCTGGATCCCCGGTCCCCGGTGAAGGTGGTGGCAGATGTGAATGTCTGGGTCTCCAAGTGATGTTGAAGCTGAGCAGCTTGAGGTCTGAGACCCCAAAGAGGCCATAGGAGGCTCAGAGGCTGGGGCTTGCACTTCTAAGAGGAATTATTTGGCAAGGGGTGGGGCTCACAGTTGTATTCTGGAGTCAGGAAGTCTGAGCTGGAGTTTCAGTCCTCAGAGAAAACCCAGTAAGACTGAGACTCACTGGAAATGGCCCACCCACCAGGCAGGAAGACGGTGCAGGGGGTGAGGTCTACTCGTGCCCTGGGGTCTCAGAGAGGTCTGAGTCTCCGATGTTGGGGGCAGTGAGAACCAGAAGCCTTAGCTCCCACTGGAGGCTCAGCTGGGAAAGTAGCAGCTGAGAAAGCCAGTGAGGTGATGAGTCCCCTGACCCTCTAGGGGTCACAGACTCTTTGGAGAATTTGGTGAAAATTCCCCTGAAAAATACAGGCACTGACCAACAGGCAAGAGTTTGCTCCCAAATAGCCTCCAGGTCCATCCATAGTGCCCCTCTGTGATAAGACCCCTGCTTTAAAGGGGCGAATGGGAGCCAGGCAGGGGAGACAGATGCTTGCTGTGACTTTCTTGTCGCCCCAGGTTGCCCAGAAGAGATGAAGAGGAGGAGGTGGAGATCCGGGTCAGGGTGAGCTGTCCCAGCACCATCCACTCCAGGCCCTCCAGTGAGGCTGCTGTAGTCACAGCTCCTCCCCAGCCCCTGCCCACACCCCCACTCCACCCAAGCAGACAGAAAAATCGTTTGGCCAAGAAATAACAAAGCCCTCGCTGTAACTAATGAGAGCAGACAGTGCTATAGAAGGAGGCTGCAGGCCAGTGGGCGGCCAGAATGTTCCCCGGGGGCGCCCCTCCCCAAGCAAGCACGATGCAGGGCTGCAGCCGCTACTCCACAGGCCTCGCAGTTGTGGCCACACCCCCAGATTGCGAACATGCCCACGCATATGCGCCCACACACGAGAAGGGCCAGATCCGCCCTGGCCAACCCCAGAACTCCCTTGGGGCACCGCACCTGTCACAGCTGCCCGCCCAGCACCACACACCCTGGCTCCTTTGCTCCTCAAAGCGGCAGGTGACAATTCCGATTCTCAGGCAAGGGAAGAGGGAAGGAAGGAAATTTGGTGAAGTCAGAAGCCCGCAGTCCACAGATAGGAAAGTGAGAACCCAAAGTTGCGCCAGCCTCCATTCCAGGCACCTGGGACCCATCGGGGTCCAAACCATCCAAGATGGCCACACTGTGCTCCCTTCCATGGAGACAGGGGCCCCACTTCAGTTTCCTCACGGCTGGTGTAACGATGATCTTTACCCAGCTCTCAGCATGGGTGGGGATGAGGGTTAAGGATCACATGGTAAAGGGCCTGGCACAGAGCGGACGTGCAGTAGGTAACAGGGGTAAAGACAGTGACTGGGACTGCGGTTCCTGGAGCTCTTTATTTATTATTGTGCTGTTACTCCCATCGTTGTCGTCATCCACAGAGCAAAGGCGTGGTGGGAAAGCCTGAGACCTACAGAGGGGAGCCCTTTCAGAAAGACACGGGGGATGAAGTGGTGAAGTGAGTTGGGCCTGGCCCCTGAGGAATATTTGGAGCTTTAATCTTAAAGTGCCTGCTGGACCTGGTGCAGGGCAGGAAGGTGGACCCAAGGAGTGTCCACGCTGAACTAGGCCCAGCCCAGGGCTGGGCACCTGAAGAAGATGGGGTCTCTGCCCTCAGGAGGCTTGGATACTTCCATAATCAGGCAGAAAATGGCAATAATAATATAGAGTAGCTCACATAGTTATTGAGGACTCACTGTTCGCTAGGCACATTTCTGAGCCCATCTTCTGTTTTTTTTTATTTTTGCCTGCATTCATTCATTCATTCTCCACTTCAGCCCTCTGAAGTAGGTGCTGTCATCACCTCTGTCTGGCAGATGGGGCAGATGGGGCCTGGAGAGGTCAGGTGACCTGCCAAGGGACACACAGCAGGAAGATGGAAGAGCTGGGACCGCAATGCAGCAGTGTGTCTTGGTGAAGCTCACACACTGAGTCACTGTGTTCCACACCCTTCCATGTGGTTATTTCTGTCCAGTGGGCTGAGCACCTCTCCCAGTCCAGGATCCAGAGTCTCAGGTTTGTCTCCTTTGTCCTTTCAGATGGATCTCCCCATCCCTCTGGGAGACTCACAACCTGGAGACATTCCAGGAAGCCCTCCTGCGAGGTAACGGGACCCAAGGACCTGGGAGGGGACTTGGGGGCAGAGAAGAAGTCCAGCACGATCATCCTGCCTTCCTTTCTCCCCATCAGCCACCCTTCAGAGCCAGATCTGCAGCAAGCCCTGGTGCCAGTGGTGAAGGAGCTGGTCCCAGACAGGAGGCTGGTCTGGAGCCAGCTCTGCCTGCAGCCCCTGCACCCCCAGCAGCTCAGGTTCACCCCAGGGTATCTCCAGAAGGAGGGTGGTGGTCAGACATCAGGACGTTGCCCAGTGCTGGGACACCATGGGCTCTCCTGGGCTCCCCCAAGCACTGTTCTGCCTCCCAGAAGGGTCTCCAGGCACCCACTGATCCCTGTGCCAGTCCTGGGGCTGCTGCTGCTGCTGCTGCTGCTCTCCATCCTGCTGCTGGGCCAGTCCCCACCCCCTACCTGGCCCCACCTCCAGCTCTGCTACCTCCAGCCCCCTCCAGTGTGAGCCATGCTCCCCATTACCTCAGAGCAGCATCTAGTTCAATGAATTCCTTGGGGGTTTTTTTTCTTTACTGTTATTCCCATGGTTGTGGCACTGTGACTTGGGATTACCCCACCATGGGGGCCCCAGATCATGCTCCAGCATCCACACCCCTGTATTGGGTTTTCATGAGAAGTCTCTTGGTTTTTTGATGTTGACAACTACATTTCTTAACAATAGCAAAACTCACGCAATAATGGATTAAGCACCAGGGTTTATATTTGCCTCACAAAACAAGTCTGGAGGAGGACAGTTGTGCTATAATTCTGTTGCCCCTTCCCTCGTGCTCAGGAGTTGACAGGTATTGTAGCTTCATATGTCATATCTTCAGGGAGAAGGTGACACGTCCCCTCCTTAGTATAAAGACAAGCACTAGCCTTCTCAGAGCCAGCAGCAGACCTGTGTTTGTGTCTTGTTGGCCAGAACTGTTTGACACAATCACCACTACCTGCAAGGGCAGCTGAGAGGCTGAGCATCTCTCCCAGCAGAAAGAGGGAAAGAGATGAGGGCCAAACACACACCACAGATGTCACTTCAGTGCCAACAGCCAGCAGGAAAGGGACTAGTGGTGTGCCATTTGTTCACCCAGCAAATTTAGTGATCATCTATTTGCCACAGCTAGACCTTAGAAGATAAATCTGCAGAAAAATAGACCCTCCAATGCCAAGCCAAGGAGCACTGATTTTTCTCCCAAGGATGGTGGAAATTTGGGGAGGTTTTATTACTTGTTTTTGGTTATTTACTTTGTTATTGAGGTGTAACTTACATACAGTGATAAATGGACAATCTTAAGTATCAGCTGGATAAATTATTGCACATGTAAACAACCATGAAACCAAAACCCGGGTTAAAATATACAAGAGTTTCAACACTGCAGAGACTTCCTTGGGAGAGCTTTGAGCAAGAGAGGGACAGAGTTGCACCTGTTTAAAGACAGTCATAGAGGTAGCTGCCAGCTCTATGGGAGCTCGGAAAAAGCACCAGCCTGGGACGTTAGATTTCTTCCCAAATAAGTGACATCTGCATTTAGTCTTGAAATATGAGTAAGATTTAGTGAGTAGAGGCAGGGAAGGATGTCACAGACAGAAGTATACGTGAAAACCAGGTTAGGGAAAAGAGCCTCTGAGTGTAGAGAGCCATGGGGAGCACCATGTTGCTGGGATTTAAAAAAAAATGAAGCCAGGGAAGGACTTGAGGCTTTAGAGTCGTGAGAAATAAGATAGAGGGGTAGGCAAGAGCCCATTAAGAGTTTTGAACACCAGCTTGAACTCTACTGCCAAGTGCTTAGGAAAGGGCTGTGAGCAGGGAAGGGGTAAAATCACCTCTGGGTGTGAAAGAGACCTTCTGAACCTGTATAGGGGATGGATAATGGAATGAGGCTGGAGGCAGGAGGTGAGGAGAAAGCTGGGGCTGTGGTCCAGATGGGAGAGCATGAGGCCTGATTTGGTTCAGGTGCATGGATGGAAAGAAGAGAAAGGCAGAAGTGGGCAGAGCAGGAAGGCAGAGCCAGGGGACTGACAGGCTATGAAGGAGGTAGAAGAAGGAAGGGGAAAGGACAGCACCTGCATCTGACTCGGTGACTGGTAGACAGTGGAGCCATTCCCAACATGGGGAACCCATGAGAAGGAGTGGGTTTTAGGGAACACTCTGAGCTCATGTGGGATGGAGTGAGTGTCAGGGTTCCAAGAAGTGGCTGGAGTACTGAGCCTTGTGCTCTCACTCTGGAGATGGGGGTCTGGGTGTTATTAGCTGTGATGGTGGTCAAAGCTGTGGTGATTGCTGAAGTTTTCTGAGGAGGGGAGTAGAGTAAGAAGGGAAGGGGTTCTGGGCATCATTTTGTGAAAAGCCTCAAATGCTAGGCAAGAGATCTAAGGAGGAAGTACAGAAAGCACAGGCCCTTCAGCAAACAGGATGAGACTCCCCTCAGGGTTGAAAGAGCCAATACAATAGTATTTGGGAGGGTGCCCGGCGTATAGTAACTGCTCATAACATTTTAATTCTATTTCTCCATGAGAGTCGTCGAATGGTCTGCTCTTCTAAAGTTGCACAGATTTGCGTTCCAATTATCCTCTGTCCTTTACTAGCGCTGACAAGTTGGAGACATTACTCCTGACTTTCAGTCTTGTTTATTTGTAAAATTTGGCCAACTCTAGTTGGTCGTGAGGAGTACAGTTACTCATTGTTCGGTGTATCTGAGTAACAGGGAAACAGGCCCCCTCCACAGCCAAAGGGCCAATTAGGACGCGGTCCGCCTCTTGGAAATGCAAATTACGGGAGAGCTTGCCAATCACAAGGCCTCAACCCCGCCCCCTTTCCCTACACTGACGCGCCCAGCCTCTTCTCTAGACTAACCAGAGCGTGGTCCGCACGAGTTGCGCCCTGGGAACGCAGTTCAGAACGCTCAGCGTCGGGCTGAGAGTGGGTTGCCATGGTCGCCACTGAGAGGCGGGGCTGAAGGGCTGGCAGAGCCTCGAGAGAGGTAGATTCTGATTGGCTGCTTCCTCGCTTCCTTCACGGGTGGCCCAGGTGTTTTGCTGTCTCCGCCCGGTCCCTCCGCCTGATGCCTGCCCCTCTCTCCTCTCCTCCCGCCCAGACCTGGCGCCCCGTTAGTTTCCCGGGAACGGCGCCGTTAGAAAACCCTGAAGAAACTGCTGGAGGCTGCTACGAGAGAGGCGGAAACCTTTTTCTAATAATGCATTTTGCTTCGTGACAGGCGCTGTACTTAAGTCTCATAGTGTATCTGGTTATTTCTCAAATGAGGAAAAGGAGGCTCGAAGATTAGAAGCCAATATCACACAGCTAGATTTAGGGAAGCCTGGTCTTGAGTGGCAGATGCATCTCCAGAGCCCCCCGGTATTTCCACTGTGCCCAGAGAGAAGTCAGGAAATGAGAGCAGAAAAAGCAAAATTCAGAGAAAATGAGAGCTGGGAGAAAGGTCGAGACCTAGAGGAATAAAGAAAAGGAAGATACGAAGTAGTCAGGCAGAGAAAAAAGAAAGTGATTAAAAATGGAAACAAGAGTTTTGAGGAGAAAAGAGTAGAGAGAGGAGACAGATCCCCAGAGGGCCGGGAAACCAGGAGGTTGAAAGGTAAGTATAGAGACTCAGAACAGGTACCCAGAGAGCAACAGAGACCCAGAGAAGGCAGCAGTGACTCAGAGGGGAACAGAGACCTGAGAGTTTACAGAGAACAAGAGAAGAAGGGGATAGAATCCCAGAGAGGAGGACAGAGACGCCGGGCGGAACAGGTACGCTGGGGGAGAGGGAAAGAGGCACAGAGGCACAGAGTGAGAGGAAAGGAAAAAGCTGGGCCGAGGGTACCGGTGGTGTAGAGCAGAGAGAGATAGGGAGACAGAGAATATGAGTGGAGGGAAAGATGAGAAAAGAGCGGGAACTGAGGGGCTAGACACCAGCGTAACGGATGCAGGGCTCGCCCCTAAACAGAAACACCCCTCTCCCCCCACCCAAGACACACGCGCGCGCGCTCACGCACACACACAGGAGGCGCAGTCCAGCCGCACAGCAGGGTCTTTATTAAGGTGGGGCGGGCAGAGCGCTCAGCGAGCGTCCAGCACCAGCAGCTTGTGCATGTAAGAGTTCAGCCAGTGGCGGCGCTCAAGGGCGGCCAGCAGCCGCGCGCGCTCCCGAAAGGCCGCATCGTCCGCCAGCGCCAGGCTCCGCCGCGACTGGGGGGCGGTCGGATCCATCCAAGCCCGGCGCAGGGTGCGGAGTCTGCCGGGAGATGGAGAGGAGCGGTTACCGCCTGCCCGGGCCCCCGTCCGCCGCCCCGCCTGTCCTCCCTGCGGCCCAACTCGAAGACCTATTCTAGTGGCTCAGTCTCTGTCTCCTTGTTTCTCTCTTTCTCTGTGTGGGTGTCTGCGGTCACCAGGTTCAGAGCTTTCTGAGTACAGAGACCCAGGCTGACGCCCTTGTCTGGCCCCAGGGCCCAGCTCATGCCTGGCACACACTATAGACCCAATAAACGTTACTCAATGAACAAATCCATTCCTGCTTTGACTCCTTTCAAGTCTCTCCAAAGCCGTTCTCAGAATCTCTCTGTATCTCTTTCTCTTGCATATTCCCTGTCCACCTCCCATCTCTGTCCTCTCTCTGGGTCTCTGTCCCCCTTTCTGAGTCTCTGTTCCCCACTCTCTTTGGGTCTCTTTCCATCTCTTTGAGTCCCCAACCGTCCTGGGAGACCTGGACGTTGTCAGTACCTGAAGACCCCCCGCGGGTGGCAGGGCGACTCCTGAGGCAGTGCAGTGGCCCCAGGGCACAAGCAGCAGCAGCAGCAGCAGCAGCAGCAGCAGCAGCCGCCGCACCCGGGGGCTCCTGGGTACCTGGCGGGTCTCCATCACCTGTGGAGAGACAGGGAAGAGCTCACTGAGGCCCGTATCCTGGCCCAGAACCCCGGACCCCACCACCCAACCACCCTCCGCAGCCCGTTTGAAGGTCCCCTACCGCGCAGTGGGCTCAAGCACCGAGGCTGGCAGCCCCCTTATATCGCCTCCACAGCCCCCGCAGCGGACAATGACGCAGACCAGGGGGCCAGGGGCGCCGGGTCAGCACCCACCCCAGCTCATTAGAAGCCGCCAGCGGTAATGAGGAGCCGGGGGTGGGGGCCCCGCGACCGCCTTGGCGGCCACCCACTAATTGGGACCAGGAGCTGAGACCTGAGGAGAATCGGGAGGGGGAGAGACAGACAGACAGAGAAGTGGACACAGGGGGGTGTGTCAGAGAGATAAAAATAGAGATCAGCGGAAGGACCATCAGAGCAGAAGCCAGAGACACAGAACAGAGACAGGGGAAGCAACAGAGGAGGGACTGATGGGGAGAAGCAGAGACACAAAGAGAAGTAACCATGAGAGGGAAGGACAAAGACAGAATGACAGAGAAAAGGAAAGAGAGGAGAAACAGAGCAACAGAGGAAGAAAGGAAGAGAAAAGAGAGAAAAGAGAGGGAAAGGGACCACGAGAGCCAGCTAGAGATGGAGGATGAGGAAAAGCACTTTCTCAAAATGATAGAAGGAGCTAGAAGCACAGCCATCCTGGACAGAGTTGTCCAGAGATAAATCCAGGCAGGAAGAGAACCAGAAAGAATGAGGGGGTTGGGGAGGGGGGCAAGAGAAGGCACAATGTATGTGTGGTAGGAGGTGTGGAGGCAGGTATAGTGACAAGTAAAATCAGAACACTGGCTCTTAAGAGGGTGCTCTCTATACAATGGACTGTTAGGCAAAGGTCGGGGAGTCTGGGTCTCTGGTTGACAGGATGTGGGAACCTGGACTTCTAGTTCCCCAGAGAGGAGGGGAACAGGGCCCGGATTTCTGGATCGAGGGGTCCCGACTTCTGGGTCTAGAAATGGGAAGTTACCAGAGACCTGGATTCCTGGATTTGGGTGTAGTAGAGGGCAGAGCTGGGTCACCTGGTTTCTCAGGAAGATAGCTTGGTTGGGTCATCCCTCCACTGATGATCCAGCCCCTAAGTCCCTTCCCCACTCCAGATATTGTCCTTTATTGCTGTTCCTTTAAAAGCCCAAGCCTGTCGCTAGGCTCCCTGGATCCCCAGGGAGGGGTCAGGAGCATCACCTGTGCCCCTGGGATCCCACCCCCTGCTTCCCCTCCCAGAGCCATTCTACAGCATTTGTCGATCTCTGTACCCAGCTCTGCTCACCTGTTTTTATCTTGGACCCCATTGGAGCAGGTAAGAGACCCCAGGACCCCAAGTGACTCTATCCCATTTGGGTGTCTGCTGGCCCCATCCCCACCTGACCACAGACCTAGATGTCTCTGCCCTAGACCAGCTCCTGAGACCTTGGGATCCCAGCTCCATCCTCAATAAACAGAGACCCGAGTCCTGCCCCACAGCTGTCTCCTCCTGAAAACTGAGGAATCTAGACCTCTACACCCCTATCTCTGGAGGACACAAGACTCAGAGTTCCCAATCTCCTTCTAACTCAGGACTCAGGAGTTCAAGACATTCATTTCCTTTCTCCCCTGTAATCCAGTCCCCCAAGCTTTACTCCCTCAAAATTCTAGGCATCTGAACCTTCAGGCCTCTCTTTTCTAAATAATTAGGAATTGAGGCCCACAGTGCTCTCCACCTTCTGGGAACCAGGAGTCTGAACCCCAAGAAGCCCTCTTGACCATAACCCAGGAGTCTCCCTCCTCCCCCAGTTCCAGGCATTCAGGCCCCCAGCCCCCAGACGTTCCTTCTGAGCCTCCTCTAATATAAACAACTGTTGAGTCAAGGTGTCCTCAAGTTCCTAGGAGAGAAAGGGATCCTGTGTCCCCTCAGAGGTCTAAATCCTTCGAAGTCGAAGTCAAGGAGGTCTGGGGGCTTGGAAAGGTGTCATTATTTCCCAATTTTCCCGAGACCCCACCCGGGAAACAGATAAGGAAATTACGACTCCCAAGAAGCCCCGCGCCTCAGTCTCCCTTAGCTACAGCGGCTGCCGCCCCACAGCCTTTAGGGAGTTGCTTCTCATCCTTTGCCTGGCGCCTAGCTAGGCCTGGACGCTACCCAGGGACCAGTGGGCGTGGCCTATGGCGTGGGCGTGGCCTCAGGAGGCGGCTGTTGCTCCCGGGCTGCTTCGGGTTTTAACCCCTTCCTTCCCGCTCCTCTGCTGCTATAGGTGCCTTCCAGAGCTATGAAATCCTTCAGCCCGATCCTCTTTCTTCTCATCTTCCTCTTCGCCCAGCTGGGTTCCAGGGCTGCCCCTTCGGCCTCACCTCCTGCGTGCTCCGACTTCCCAGGGATGGGCCACCCCTCTCAGCCCTTCCCTCATGCTTCTGAAAATTCCACTCTCAATGAGCCTAACCCAGAATCTCCTGGGACTGCTTATCTTGAGCCCTCCAAGACACCTCATGCGGTTTCCCCTGAGCCCTCCCATCTTGACTTCACTGAGACCCCCAAAACTCACCTCCCAGAAACCCCACACCCAGAGTTTCCTGAGACCCCCAAACCTAACTCACTCAACACCTCAATATCAGAATCCCTTGAAACCCTCCAAATTAACCCCTCCAAAATGACACATCCAGAACTTTCTGAGACCCTCAAACCTGACCCAACTGAAAGTCTACACATAGAATCCCTTGAGACCTCTGAACCTAATTCGTCCAAAACTTCACACCCAGCATTTCCTGAGACCCCAAACCCTGAACCTACTCACACTCCACACCAAGAATCCCCAGATTTTCCCAAACTTAACTCCACTGAAATCTCACACACAGAATCCACTGAGATCTTCAAACTCAATCTCTCCAAAACCTCACGTCCAGGATCTCCTGAGACCTCAAACTCTGACCCTACCCAAACTCCACAACAAAAATCCCCAGAGATTCCCAAACTTAGCTCCACTGAAATCTCACCTACAGAAGCCCCTGGGACCCCAAATCCTGACTCCACCAAAACTCTTGAACCCAAATCTCCAGAAACCTATGATCCTAACACCACTGAGACCGCAAACTCTGAATTCCTTCAGACACCTCAACATGACCCTACCAAAATCCCCCACCCAGAATCCCATGTAAGCCACACCACCAATCCCACTGAAATTCCCCCAACTGAATTTCCCACAACCCCCTACCAAGATGCAACAGAGATCCTCAAGACCTCTGACCCTGAGGTCTCCACTAGTCCTCACCCAGAAACACCCACTCCCTTCAGGGAAGAAGTTACTGCCCTAAATGAGCTGCCCTTGAAACCCAGCCCAGAAATACTTGCAGTCACCCAGCTCGACCCCCTCAAATTGCCCACCTCAGATTCTCCTGGGACAGTTGAGCTGAAGGCCCCCCAGAACTTTAGTCCTAAAGGGCCTGACGGCCTTTCTCCCTCAGCCCGGATTGCGGGGCCCCCTGCTCCTCCAGGGCCCCCCACTCAGCCGGCCCCTGCCACTCCGCGGGCCCCCCAGCGGCGCAGCCGAGGTGAGAGAGTCAACACTATCATCGTGGTGGAACGAGTGGAGGAGACCGGTGAGGGGCTAGGACCCAGACTCCTGGGTCCGAGGGAGGAGGGTCCTGAGAGCCGGACTTCTAGGTGGAAAGGATGAGGGGGGCATTGAAGGCCCCTCTCTAGGGTCTGAGAAGGGAGGAGGCTGAGGGCTGGTACTGGGGTCTGACGAAGGAGAAGCTGGGGGCCAGGACTCCTAGATCGGAGGGAGGAAGGTAGGATCTGGATTCCTGGGTCTGAGGGAGGAGGGGGTTAGGAATTTAAATTGCTCAGTTCCTGGACCTCCTTCCTTCAGGCGTGACCCTGGTGGGGCGTTCCCGGGGCGCGGCAGGTGGAGCCCTCTGCCTATTCTTCGCCGGGACAGGGCTACTTATCGGCATTTTCCTGCTGCTGTGGTGTCTCTACCGCCGGGCGGCTCGACACCGGCCCTTCGCACACCACCGGCTTCCGAACGACGGAGATGAACCGGGTGAGTCACCCTTGCAGCGTCCTGCTCCTTAAAAGCCTGCGTGTTTCTTTAACCTGTTTTCGCCTGGCACTTTAGGGTGCCCACCTAAAAGTACAGGTCCCCACCCAAGGTCAATAGAAGCCCTAACCCCTCCACGGTCAGGTCCTGCCCTCCAATTCTCTAAAACTTCACGCAAACACATCCAGTTCTGCCTCCAGCCCAGCAGAGAGTTGCAGCCGACTCCAGGCCACGGGTCCCTACAAGCCCCGCCCCCGCCCCTCATGAAGCGCGGCAGGCCCCGCCCCTTAGTCTAATCAGAGGCTCTTTGATTTGAAAACTCAGCTCCAAAGGATGGTCAGAATCCTCTCCCCATTCTCCACATTGGCCAGCGGTGCAGTAGAGGGGATGGGCCCCCTATCAGCCTAGGGGTGACCTGCTCCTTTGCTCCCAACAGTTATGCATTTGGACGCCCCGAAGGACCCCTGTGATCTCTACTTTTATGCACCGGACGCCTGGGTTCCTTCACACATCGCCACCAAGCAGCCGCCGCCCACTCCTCCGCTGCCGCCCAAGCTGCCCCCGCCGCCTCGCGGGGGCCGCCCCCAGCTCCTGGAGCCTCTCTCCCCCGCCACGCTTCCCAACAACTTCGTGTGAGCCTGGCCAGACCTTGGCCAGCGCCAAATAGAGGAAAGATTCAGAGGTTCTGTCCTCCTGGCCCGCTTTGCTACATAGTGGTCCTCTAGGATAGAGGGTCCATCAGAGATGCTTTAGATGTGACCGGAGAACACAGTCTGAGGCACAATAAATCACGTATTCCCACTGCTAGACAACTCCTCTGGCCTGAGTCCTGAGGGAGGAGGGTGGCTGGGGTCCTAGGATACCAGGTATGAGGGAGGAGGAGGCTAGAGGCCTGGACTCCTGGGTCTGAGGGGGAGGGGGTTGGGGCTTGGACTCCTGTGACTTCCACTGCCAGTGACGACTGGGTGTGTACAACAAAGCATTTTATTGGGAGAGGGGCAGGGCAGGATTTACAGTCACAGAGACAAGACACACAAAGACACAACCCTGCCCGGGGTAAAACACCCCCTTCCCCAGCCCCATTCCCTTTCCTGGGATTCTGTGACTTCTATATATGTTCCCCAAATTCTAAGCCGAAATAGGGGAGTTTGAGAGGGAAGGGATCCCAGATTTGGAGTCATTCAGCCCCTGAGGGACAACAAATGGCCACTGAGAAAATGAGGGTAGTTTGAAACCACCCAGGAGAATAAAGTGCTAAGATTCAGGGGGAGGAAGGAGCATCTTGAAACCACCATGGGGAAGTTCAATGGTGGTGGCTTCAAAGCTTAAGAGTAGATGGACTTGTGCAGCCACTATTTAGACCTGAAAACCATGTCAGAAAAAGTGCATGGGGGCGTAGAGAGGCATATTGTTAAAACCATCATTTTGGTTGTTTCCCTAGGCATTGTGCTAAGCTAGGGAGAAGGTTTTGGGGAATTTGGTGCTTCAGCAGAATCTGCTGGTGGAGGGAGGGGTGAAAAGTTGGGTGGGAGGGTGCTTGAAACTGCCATTTCCCCTCAGAAACGCTGGTGAGAATCAATCCCTAAATGGCAGGGATGGGTGATTAGTTAAGCCAACCTGGAAAGTGCAGAATAGGGTTGGGAGGGATTTAAAACTTCTAGAGGAAAACCTTGAATTTTTCTGAAAGAAGAGGCCGGCTGAGTAATCTCAGGGATTAGCCCAAGTCCCTGGGGTTCAAAGAAATGGGGAGGTGCCCAAAACCACAAGAGAGATTAAGAGATTGAACTGTCCATTCAAATAAAGCCCTGAAAGGAGAGACTTGAAACCACTGAGGCAGAACAAGTGAAGAAGGGTACCTTTAGGGAAATTTGGGTATCCTTGAAACTGCCAGTCTGCAGCTTCACTACCCCTGAGAGGCAAATGGGAAGGAAAGAGGGTTTGACAGCACTAGGAACAAGGGAGAGTGCTTCTTAGGCCTGAGGCAGGACGTAGAGGACTGGGGTTCCTTGATACTGTCACTCAGGCCAGAGATGTGTGGAATGGAGGACCTGGAAACTGCCATCCAGTGGGAGGCACATGGTCAGTAGCCCCGGACAGGGGGTGGGGGTCTTGGGGGTTGAACTGTGCTGTGTGTGGCTCCATAGGAGGGAGGGGGAGCAGGGGGTGCCCCGGGGGGCTCAGCCTCATCCTCCATTTCGCTTTCATCACTGCCAGCCAGCTGGTCATGGCCAACAAAGCCACATTTCTCTTCGCTCATCTCCTCAGGCTCCGCCCACGGCTGCTTCTCTCCGGAAGCGAAGACCCCGTAGAAGATGACACCCCCGTAGTGCACCAGGGAGGCAATGAGGAACACATACTGCCACTCCTCCCGAGTCTGTGGGGGGACATTGGGGAGGTAAAGTCAGAGGACAGAGAAAACAGGAGGTAGAGAGAGGACCTGAGGGGGAAGGGGGTTGGGGTAGAGGTACAGGGTAGGAAAGGCCAGAGAAAGGAAGGCTGAGATACAGAGAGAGGCTGAAAAAGACCCAGAGAGGGCAGGGAGGGAGCCCAGAGAGGGTGATGCATGTCAGGAGGGTACCAGACACAAATTTGAAGGGCAAGTGGGTCAGGGAGGGCGCACGGACCTTGTGCTTAGTCATTGCACCCACGATGATGGGGCACACCATCCCCGACAACGTGCCCACGCCGTTGGAGATGCCCATGAGGATGCTGGCGTAGCGCGGGGCGATGTCCAGGTGATTCACGTTGAACCCTGGCGAATCGAGCCAGGACGCGTCACGCCTGATTCTAACTAACCTCCCGCTTCCCCGCCTCTCTTTCTGATCCACCTTTCGCGAGGCTGGGAGGTTCCCTTCCTGAACCAGGAAGTTCCCCACAGAGCAGACCAGAGTCCCCTAAGCTGCGGATCCGCGGTTCTCACCGGAGATGGCGAAGCCGCTGAAGCCCACTGCGAGGACCAGGAAGGAGATGGCCACCCCTTTGGAGTGCGAGTAGCCGACCACTAGCAGCAGCGTGGCTTCCATGCCAAAGCCTAAGGAGGGACGCCTCATCTGAGCACGGGCCGCCCCACACCACCTCTCCAGACCTGTTCCAGCCCCAGCTAGCCCCTATTCGCCCCCTTCTGGCCACTTCCAGGCCTGTCTCTAGCTTTGTCCCCTATTCCACCCGCGCCTGCCCTAACCAAGCCCTTACCTCCTCAATGCCTGGCCCTTGACTGGGCGCACAGGCTCCAACAACCCAAGCTGTGTCCTCCATGGCTCTACCCACTGATTAGGCCACACCCTGAAGACACAGGGTCCAGGCTCCACCTGTGCATCTTCACACCTTTCCTTTCTGTCCCCACTCCTTACAGTCAGACCTTTGTCTCTCCAGGTTCCCCTCTTCATCACCCGGTTACCATCCTACTCTGGCCAGCCTCGTATAGGCCCCGCCCTTCCAGACCCAACATGGTCTCGCCTTTGCTCTACCTGTAGTCACACCTGTCTTGCCCTTCTACGCCTTGGCCTCCAAGTCTGCCACTTGAGATTCTGTTCCAGCCAGGCGGGTCTCAAGCAGGGTCTGCTTTTTCGGACAGGCCCCTGGACACGCCCCCTGACTCCGCCCCCCCATGGTCCCACCCCCTAGATCCTCCCCATCGCGCTCTCCTCCTTCCAGGTCATCCCAGACCAGGTCCAGGCCCCGCCCCACTCACCCCCACAGTTCATCAACTTGCGCACGTTCGTGGTGGACATGATACGGCGGCTCCTCAGGAAGTCGGCGATCTGGCCGCCGATGGGCACGATGATGGTCATGACCAGGTGGGGCAACGCTGATACCAGGCCCACCTGCGCCAGCGGGCATACAAGGAGGAGAGCTCAGGGGCCGCCCGCCCAGCATCTCCACCCTGTTCAGGCACCATTGGCTCCTCCCTGAACCTCGTGCCAACCCCTTGGGATCCAGGCCCCTCTCCTTTCACCTCACCCCCGCCGCGCCCCCGGCCCTCCCCTTCCCTCTGGGCCCAACCTTGCTGATCTCGAAGCCGAACACTTCTTCGAAGTAGGCGGGCTGGGAGATAAGGAGCAGGTAGAATGTCCAACTGCGGCAGAAGTTGGCCACAATGATGGCATAGACTGGCATGGACGTGAAGAAGCGCCGCCAGGGTGTGTTAAACTTCTGTGGTGGGCGAGAGGAGGGGCAGTTAAGACAGAGACCGGGGCCGGGTGCTCCCCGTGTCCCTTGAGGGATCCCACTGTAGTCCCAGAGACCCAGGGTTCCGACCTCGCTAAAACCTCCAGGGATGCAGGGTCGTCAGCCTGACCAAGTCCCTGTGGGAACATTAGCATGCATCCTAGCCTCACAGTGACACCAGGGATGCAGGTCCCGACTCTACAGTAGCCCTCAGGTTCGCAGGTGTCTGGACCTCACGAACACCTTCAGAGACCCATAACTGTGGACCCAAGAGTCTCTTTCCATACAATTACGCCCCCTAATTTTACCCTCACCCACCCCAAAGTCTAAGCAAAACCCTGCATCCTAATCCGCTTCTGCAGGTTTAACCACGCCCATCAGTGGCTACGCCCAGCTCGCGACCTAGCCTGCCAATCCCGTCCTCCTGGGGTTCTTAACCCCGCCTCCTGCCGTCTCACGCCACCCACCTTGCGTTCCCATCACATCTCCTCTAATGAGTCCACAGAAACCCACCAAGATCTACATGCAGTGCGGGTTTAAAGCCCCTTTTTCTCCTGCCTCCGTGCCTAGGAATCCCTCCTCGCCCCACCTCGCCCCCGCCCTGCAGGCCTGGGCCCGGACCGTGACTGGGTTCATGAGTTTGGCGCTCTCGCCGATGGCGTCCTCGATGTACTTGCGCTCCTCCTCCGAAATGCTGGGGTGCAGCGCCGGGGACTCGTAGGAGACGAGCAGCCAGAACAGGTACCAGAAGATCCCGAAGCTGCCTGAGGGGGTCAGGAGGGGGATGGAAGCGAGGTGACGACCGGCCTCGCTCTGCCCCAGCGCCACCCGGACCCAGGCGTCCGGGCCCCTCACCGTAGACGTAGAACACAGAGCTCCATCCTGAGTACTGCACCAGGACCCCGGCGAGAGGCATCGCAACCACCGCCCCAGCATAGGAACCTAAAGGGGAGGATGCGGGATGGAGAAGAATCCCATTTCCCTCAGATGCAGTAGTGCGGATCCCCAGCCCTGGCCTTTCTGGGACACAGAAGTACAGGCCACAGCCCCTCCTCCCTGAGACACGTCGGTCTGGGTCACCAGTCCCCTCCACTCTCAGACCATGGAGTCCAAGCCCCAATCCCCCACCTCCCTCAGACCTAAGAGTCGGAACTCCAGGCCCTTCCATCCTCAGACCTCTCACCGCAAAAGGCTGTTGTCGCCAGGCGACTCCGCTCTAAGGGCGGGGCCCATTTGCTCCAGATCCCGTGGCAGGCGGGGTACGTGACACCCTAGGGAGGAGAAAACCAAAGTCAACGAGAAGAGGTGGTGCTGTAAAGGCAGCGGGGTCATAGTGGGCAGGGCTTTACCTCTACCAACCCCTGCAGGATCCTCACGAAGATGACACAACCGTAGTGGACGCGGGCAGCCGAAGGGATCAGCATGTTTAGAGTGGAGGTAGCCACAATAGCAAAGCCGAAAACCCTGATAGGAAGAGTCCATGTTCGAGAAAAGAGTCCAAGTATCCTGCCAAGCCTAGGATTCTGCTTTTTGCTCCCACAGAAGGCCAGGCCCTGCACCCCCAGAACCCCACGCCCCACCTTCTCTGTGACTCCCAACTTCCACAATCGCAAACCTCGCCTTTCCCT